AGAGAGAGAGAGAGAGAGAGAGAGAGAGAGAGAGAGAGAGAGAGAGAGAGAGAGAGCGGCGGGCGCTTGTCGCGGGTGTTGAGGGTTGGGTTGCGAAACTTGCACCGGCTTGAATTCAGATCGAAGGTGCACGCTGAGGGTAGCGCTCTCCTCAGACTGACTGAGAGGTCGAGTAGGCACGACGTCCATGTCTTTCCCTTGTAGGGAAGAAGAGGAAAGACGGCCACAACAACAGCAGCACCTTCTTCCTACCATGCGACTTTACCTCGGGCGTTGGTCTTGGAGGTGACCCCTCGCTAGTTGTGCTGTTGTCTTTCTTCGGCGGAGAAGCTTTCGAGGCTGCTGTTGCAGCATCGGTATCGGCATCGGCATCGGCATCGGCAGTGGCGGCGGCGGCCGTCGCAACAGAGTCGTCAACATCGCCAGCACCACAGCAGTCACCTGCCTCATCGCCAGCAGACAACTCAGCTGCGTAACCACTTGCACCACATGCAACAGCAACAGCGCCGCCGTTAGAACGGCTTTCAGTAGCCACCTCAAGGTCCTTCTCGGACTTTGGTTCCCCATCGTTCCTTTCACTCGTAAGACCATCGCCACCAACGCTGCCACCGTCTCCGCCAACGTTATCGTGCTGGGCTTGAGCACGACGGTGCTGGGGCAACGAAGCATCCAACGGGGCCTCGAGGTTGCGCGCAAGATCTGGGGCTCCAGACTGAAACCTGACGATATTGTCTACGATGCTCTTGTCGGCAGGAAGTGTCCCCTCCGAAGAAGGGTTGCTGTGATTGACGTGGCTTTGCGGAACAGGGATGGCCGGAGGAGTGCTCGTTGTACCACCGCCGATAGCGTCTCGGTTCCGCCGCTTGTTGCGTCTGAACGCGGATAACAAATTCTTTCCATCCTTCACGGCCGAAACCGAGCCGGGAGTCCGAGGCCTGCCTAGAGCTGGCACGGGAGCAGCAGCAGGGGGACTTTCGCTGGGGAAATCGCCTACTATTGTATTGTTCTTGTGCGTACCGCCAGTAGGTGTTTGGCTCGGATGTGTTTCTCCGACTGCTGTCGTGCGTTGAAACGACTCTTCCATGCCGTGGCGCTCCATCTCCGAGCAAGCCTGCACGTTAATGCACGAATCAATGCATTCAGCTACAGAGTCTTCCGAGCCCTGCACGGCAGCCTAGAGACAGATGATGCCAATCGCATGCACGATTGATCGATCGGACCATGTGCACGACCGACGCGGAGGAATCGACTTCAAATCACGGAGCCCCCTGCGGTCCCCGTTGGGATATGCCTCTTGGGAAACCCTGGAAGCAACGCAGACTGCAACATAGAGCGCGTCGCAAGACCACACGACGAACACCACAAGCACCTGCGATGCGACCGGTCTTCTCTCCTCTCCATCTCTCTGTTCTATAACACCTATTAGTCTTGCTGATCATATCCTTGTACGATATCCCACGGTGCGCCATTGGCGCCCTGATTCCAGCGCCGGATTGACCCACCCTCCATCCAGTCAGCCTCTGAAGCCATGATGCAGGACAAGCATGTCCTGCCGGCAGTGGCGACGGCGGTGCTCGTGTCCGCCATGGTGTTGACGTATATTTCCTCAAAAAGCAGGCGTCATGGCTGTAAAGGTGTGTGAGATGCAGAACACGGAGATTTATGCTGCTTCGTTCACCTGTAAGCCTTTGACTGCAGGCCTGTACAGCAGTGTCATGGCGCTTGCGCGCTTGCAAACATCTTCGCCGTATGCGTCGTCTACAGCACAGCAGCAGTGCTGGATATGCAACAGCCTACGCCTCGACACCGTTCCACATTTCTCTTGATACGCGCACTATCGCACATGCTGTTGGCGTGCTACGTCATCTTCACAGCTGGCACAACGTTTGAATGATTGAATCCCTGTTCACATGAACCGTGCTCTCCGCTCCGCTCCCCAACAACCACGCGCGTCGTTTCTTCAGCAGGCGAAAAGCGCCATATGTCGGACCTCGTGCGCTCGAACATTCAAGACCTGACACCGTACCGATGCGCTCGAGACGACTACAGCGAAGGCGTGCTGCTGGACGCCAATGAGAACAGCTATGGTCCATCATTGGTGGCGGGTCAGGTAAAAAAATTATCAGGTCGAGCGAACCACAGCGCAGCCCTATTGCATGATCCTGCCCCCTGTCTGCGGTCGAAATTTGTTGAAATGAACGAACGCCACCTCGCCTTACCGCGTTAATTTGCTGGCGTGAAGTACCTGCGCTCCGCAAGCCACTGCAGGCCTTGTCGTGGGCTGTCCGAACCACCCCATCTCCCCAATGACCCAACGCTTTCCACCTGACGCCGTGCCCTCAAACTGCTACCAAGAATGTCAACACAAGTCAACCTGAGTGTAGTTGAGAGGATGGGTTTCGAAAGCCCGTTAGCGTACACCTTGCCGTCCGTGTCCCCAGAAGTGTTGCCAACGACTGTTGTTGCCAAGATTGCTGACCACCCGCGCGAACCACTCCCCCCGTCTCTGCCCGTACGGCGCCAAACGCCAATCGACTCCACATCCAACAGGGCACGGTGGATCTGGAAGGGTTAGACTTGAACAGGTACCCTGACCCTCAGCAGCTGGAGGTGAAAGCCTTGCTCGCGGAGATGAGAGGGGTGAGGCCGGAGCAGATCTTTGTCGGGGTTGGGAGCGACGAGGCTATCGACCTTCTCGTCCGCATCTTCTGTACTCCTGGAGAGGACTCCATCATCGTGACACCCCCGAGCTACGGCATGTACAAGGTAAAGTTGATTTGTGATTTACCCTCCAGCGTAACACCCGTATGATGCCGCCGGTACACGCAGTGTTGTCCCGTGGTATTTTCAGCGGAACGCTTTTTGCACCAAAAATCGCCAGCTTGCGGTCCACACGACTGATAGACCTCCGTTGGCTTTTTGTCTGTTCGCTCTTTTCGTCCGCCAACCCTTTCGTGGCATTCCCAGGTTTGCGCCAAGGTCAACGATGTTCAAACGCAAGAGGTGCCGTTGACACCGGACTACGACGTGGTAGTTTCTGAGGTGAGCGCGTACCTCTTGGCACAGCAGTAGGCTAAGCAACGCGAAACTGTAACTTTCTTGCCCACAAACCATACTCGAGCCAAGGCGTGTTCGGGTACCATCTATCAACCATGCATGCTTTGACGACACTCTTGGTTTGATTCGCAAATGATTGTCTCTGGCATCGCGTCAGGTCGGGTCTACGTGCTGTCTACTCCTGTCGTGTGCATCCCCTCTCTTCGCGCTCGACTGCGTTCAGTTCACCCGCGTGTCTGACCGTGAGAGCGTTGAACCCGGTGCACAAGCAAAGCCGAACGCGCAAAAGAGCAATGGTGCGCACTTAGAGAAAGCCCTTCGTTGCTAGGCTGGACACAGATTGGGGCAGAGGCATTCCCCGCTTTCGTCACTCAACTAAATAGATGCGTGGTCTGTTTACCAAGTGCCTGCACAACGGGGAGCAACGTAAAATGCACAACATGGCGTAATCCCTTTGGCCCCTGCGTGTGCATCCTCTCTAGTGGTATTTGTTTCACGGGGCGTGCCCAATTCCCCCACACCCCCAACACCAGGTTCTCCGAGCGGCCACCCCTTCATCCAAGATCCTCTTCCTGTGCTCCCCAGGCAACCCCACCGGCAAGAGCATACCCGCGTCCGTCGTTAGAGACATTGTCAGGGGTGGCTTCGACGGCGTCGTTGTCGTCGACGAGGCGTACGTGGACTTTTCCGGCAAAGACAGCGCGTGCTCGCTGATCGACGAGCTGGACACTGTGGTGGTCTTGCAAACGCTGTCGAAGGCCTTCGGGCTGGCGGCCATACGGTGAGCGTGTTTTCGTTGTGCAGGACCCTTATGTTCTAGGCGGCAGGCGTGGTTTTCCGGGCAAGTACAGACCGATGTCGATGGATTGGAAGCGCGTGTCTCCCGATGTGTGGTGCGACCGTTGTTAAGGCCGCTACTATTAGCCCTGCGGAGGTTCTTTCGAGTAGACTTTTTTCTTTTTTTTTTTCGTTGCCAAGCCAATCAAAGCCGACTAATTTTGACAGCGGCGTCCATTTCTAGGGCGAACAGACTGAACATGTGCTGCGATGGCTTGTATTTTTCGAATTTTTTTGAGCGGACGTGGATGCGCGCGAACAACAACACATACACGGATAACACGGTGGGGTTGATGCGTGTGCTCCCTCGTGATCAAACTAGACCTGCGATCACCTCACTCCTGACCGGCGCCACAAATCATGGCCCTGAGTGGCAGGTTAGGAGCGTGATCGACTATGTTGTGTCGGAGTCGGAGTCTGAGAGTGGTCTGTCCGACGAGCTGAGCGGGGAGGATGACGATAAGATGTGATAAAGAATCCGCGATGGATGAAGGCAGATGTATTTTGAATCAACACGAAAAAAAAAACGACGTTTGAAACAACGCAACACCACCCAAAAGGCACTGCCCCCGCTCGCGCCTTTCCTCCACTGCACGAGGTCGAAGAGGTATTGCGCAGCACGTGTATAAGCCAGAGCTACTGATGACGCAGTAACGATAGAAAGAGCGGCAGTACCGCTCGCGGTATAGCCTTTGCGCCGTGACACAAATGTAGGCGATGACGAAAGAAACGCCGAAGTTTATGGATGATGGCAGGCATACTTGTCAATTTAACACGAAAAAAAAAAGTTGATTTGACACAACACAACATCAAAAAGAAACTGCCCACGCTTGCAACCTTTCCTCGCCTGCCTGAGGCCGAAGAGGTACTGCACAGCAAGCACGTAAGCCAGAGCTACTAATGGCGCAGCAACGACAGAAAGAGCTGCAGTAGCGCCGGCGGTACAGCCTTTGTGCCGTGGCACAAAAATCATTTCACCGAAAAAATGCAGCAGCAGCAGCAGCAGCAGCAGCAGCAGCAGCAGCAGCAGCAGCAAGAAAAACACACGCACAAAAAAAACAAAAACTCTCGCACATCGTCCCAGGTGCTCCGGCCACCACCGCGCTCGCTTTGCCTCCGCCTGCGCCCACGAACCTAAGACGACTGCCTAACACCCCGCCCCCTATCAGCTTGTGCTGTTACCTGGCGTAGCTCTCGCTGCCTGCTTGCTTCAACTTTTTTTGCTGCTGCTGCTTCTTTTTCTTCTGCTGCTACTCTCTCCGCCTTTCTTTTTGCCGCGTTCGCCTTGTTCTTTTGTACGCGGGCGGCGTCAGCTTTTGCCGTTGCGGCGTCGCGGCTCCGTGTCAACTCCTTGACGTCTGCCCTCCTCACCAGCCCGTCGAACCTTGCTTGCGACGCCCTGAGGCCACCTCAATCGTCATAGCATGTTTTTCGACACATATCTCGTTTTGTCTCGAGAACTTTTGCTTTCGTTTTTTCCTCGAGTCTGGCGATTTTTTCTTCCCAGACGTACCCATGAGTACCCGATAAGTACCTGATCTGGGGATTCGTTTTGCGCGACGATGACGCAGTGGATTCTAGCGTGGCTTTTTTGCGTCACTTTGCTGAGAAGGAGAGCTACGATTTCATCGGTGGCGATTTGCGTTTAAGTTGCTCACGTTCGTAGCAGCAGGCGAAAAGGGCCGAAAATCACTTGTTTTTAGAGTGTTCTATGGGTTAGAACCCGCCGATTGAAAAACTGACCGATGCATCCATAGATATGTCCTGTTCACAGGTGTGTACTGAACCGCAAGAGCCAGCTCGTTTGTGGCATCGAGTATTTCGCGTTCTTCTCTCGCTCTTTAATATCAAGTCAAAACGAGATTTGGCGCCGGCGACCTGAAAAGCGGAAAAACTTTGTTGTTGTGGTTTATCGACCAACAGCCCGACAACGCGCATACACCAAAAAAGGGGGTCAGGCGCAGGGCTAACTGTAGCAACGCTGTTGTTCGGTCGTCACCCACGCTCTTTGTCCACGTGGTCATGATGTGTTCGCTCGAACCCTCTTGTCAGACTGCACATGTTGGCATGCGAACATCCATCGCGTGGGTCTTCCCGCATCATGTTGAAACACTCGCCCTCCCCCCCACCCCGACATTTTCTTTTCGCTTCGTCAGAATGGGCTTTGCTTACGCGAATGAACACATCATCCAGTACATGAACAACGTCAAGGCTCCGTACAACGTCAACCGCCTCACCCAAGAGGTCGCCGTTCGAGCCCTCAAGGACCGCAGCCTTTACGAGGACCGGGTCACCACCATCCTCGACGTGAGTTGTGTCGGTTTTCTGGAGGCCGGGCGGGAATTGAATCCTTTCGCTTGTCCTTGATGCACATGGAAAACGCTGCTGTTCTGCTTTTGGTTGGCATCGCCGTACGAGGAGTGCAGGCGTCACTGTTCGCTGTGACACCGTTCTCCGACCGCGCGAGCCTCTCTGCTGTAGGCTGTTCTTGAGCACCCGCCATGACTAGTGGGTCACAATCAAGTCCCTGAATAAAGTGTGTTTGACACAGAGATGCCCAGACCGAAACGTTCAGAACATGAGTGGGCGGGTGTACCACAGCTGTGTGACTCGCCTAAAGCCTGTTTTCTTGACGCCCTGCTCGTCAATCGCGGGTGGCGAATTCACGCAGGAGCGAATACGGCTGCAGGAAGCACTGCGGCGCTACAGCTTTGTGAAAGAGGTCAAGGAGTCGGATGCCAACTTTTTCCTCGTCCAGGTGGACCACGCGCAGGAGATCTACAAGCGCATGGCCAACAACGGAGTCGTGGTGCGATTCCGCGGCAACGAGCTTCACTGCAAGGATTGTCTGCGGGTGACTGTCGGGACTGCGGAGGAAAACAACCGCCTCTTGGAACTCCTCGAGAAAACCGTCGCAACGATCTCGGCTCCGTAGTCACCTACATTCAGGGTTGTTGGATATCAATCTAGATCAAGGGTTCGTTGGTGGACAAAAGTGCTGACTTTCGCTCATAAACAATTAGTACATGCACAGCCGCCGCTGTGACATGTTGCGAAATGACGTCATTTTGGACCGGCTTGGCTCCCAACGGTGATAATCTAACAGCTGCAGGTGGTGTGAGGGTGCAGGCATGCGGCAAGACTTGCCGAGGTTTGTTTTCTTCGAAGCGAATCAAGACTGAGTCGGTCATCCTCACTTTACGCGCTGATGTGTGGTACAGGACGTTTATTGGTTAGCTCACTGAGCCCATGCCCTTGTTTTGCACGTTCTTGCTTGAAGCAGGCGTCTGTATCCCTGTAAGGTAAACGGGGTTCTTGTTCTGTTTGCTACCACGATTGGTCCATGAAAAGCACACGGCTTTCTGGGTGGATATCGTGAACACCAGCAGTAACATCGGGCACCCCTTCAGTTCAAACGTGAATGTGTTCGGGAAGTGTCTTGTACGACAAGGAGATAGATTGGTACGTGTCTGAGCTGGGAAATGGAGAAGGAAAGTACAGGGAGGTGTTTGAGGCAAGGAATAGCCAGGAACGGTAGGTGGATACAATATTTGGGGCATTGGAAGCTAGTTGAATGAGCGGCAGCTGTGATATCGATAGGGTATGCCTAGATAGGCTAGGGACGTTGCTGGGCCACCTTCGGCAAAGTAGGAAGGATTGATTGGCTGTTTGATCGGTGTTGTGGGAATATGCTCGGCCCTCTGGAGGACGCGCAGCCAGTGCACGAAGGCATGCAAAACATGAGTACGCCCCCGCCCCCCCTCCGCAAGTATAACAGTGTTTCACGAGGTGCACCCCCCCCTCCCTGCCCAAATCTGAAACCAACTGCTGCTGGCGTCACCCCTAACCATCCTGGGTGCTTGTCTTGCAGCCGCCGTATTTTGGGGGCCTGTTCTTATCTGAACGCGCATTCGTACACCACAACGAAGGGTTTGAATATATTTTGCCCCGCTCAAGCAGGGCTACCTCCAATCCGAGGTCCCCGCTTTATTTTGAACGTGCGTGGTAAGTTTCGACGACGTGTTCTTCAAATCAAACGGCACAGAACAACAACGCGTTGCGCGATCAGTCGGCACGCCGCTTTTTTCTCGGATGTTTTTGCCGGAAGTACGGTACTCGCGGAATTTGCCGAGAATCTACTGGTCATCGTGCTCAACACTTTTCACTAGCTTGCACACCCCGCCCATTGTCTCCAGCGTTGGCTTTTGCCTGCATGTCTGCTACCTGTATGCATGTACGCGTGTAGCCTTGGTAGGCATCGTGAATTTCAGCGTGAAGAACGATCGAAGGTGACGGGTTTTTGTTCTTCACACTACGTTAGAACTGAGTACCTGTTGTCATGGCCAGGTGCTTAGATCTTGGGTATTGTTCGGGTCAAGTTCTTGTCCTCCCACCTCGTAGGTGGCGAAATGCAAAACATGCAGCGTGCCTGAAAGCACAAACTTTTGTTGTGCTCGCCGCTTAGTTTGTGTAGGGCATCGGGAACACGTGCATTTCCCAAGCGACCGGGGCTCAGATTCAGTCACTTGCTGCTGCGTTATGCCTGCATGTGCCCCGCTGTGCGTACCTCTGAAGCTAACAAGGAAATATACCTTGAACCAAGTCCGGAGGAACGCATGTTCCGGACAGAGCGCACTGGCCTCCGGCGCATGCGAGAATAACAAAACTACTAAAAAACATGCCCAGTGAAGAGCGCGCGATCCCCCAAAAGCCACACACTCTTGGTGGTGCCCCTCTCGGTGGCAGCAGAGTTCGAGCAGCATGGGAGATGAACCGTTGGGGCCTACTTGCGATGATGGAGCGAATATATGTCCAACTAAAGCAGTCAATCCTCTGGTTCATAGAGCACATACATATCGTTGTTCTAGCTCGCACACTTGGTAAACACAAACTACGTTGGTGTCGACTACGTCAAGCGTGTGACCCACGTCCGGGCATAACGCTTCCGGCTTGGAAAAAGATTTGACGTGCAACGTACTAAACGAAGAAAACTAATGAGTTATTGTGTACACTTGCAAGACACGCCTACGAACCAATTCGTACCTACTGGTACAGCTCTTTCACCCGGCTGCCCATCGTCGCGGACGAGCAAATAGTGTGGACTTTGAGAGGGCGGAGAGCCTATCTCTCATGCATGGGTTACCAATAATAAGGTTCCCTCCACGCTTCTCACTCACTCCTCTCCGTCCTTGGCCGGTTCCGCGGCACCGACCTGGGCATCCTCGTCGCCCACTCTGTGCATAGCGTGCGCTGCCTTGGCCAGGTTGTGCTGCGCTTTCTTGACGTCGGCAGCGTTCAGCTGCGCCACCGAGAAATGCCGCCGGCAGTGGTGGGGGGCACGATTCATGAAAAGCAAGCCGGATGTAGGGGAGGGCGCGGTCACTGTGCGAAAGCAGCGTAATAGTGATGGGCGATGCGTTGATCTCCCTAATGTATCTATTAATATTTCGAACCTTCAAAACATGATCATATGCTTCGCCACTAGCAAGCAAAGGCAATCGCCGGACGCCTGAAAGGGGGACAAAAGCCGCCAAGGAGCATATTTTCAAGAACCCAAGAGAATGAAACCCGAAGAGATACAAACCAAGGACGGGCCACTTGACACTCTGCGAAACACAACACCACGCTACCGTAAGGTTTTTCCCCACCGTCTCTCATCGTCCCGAACTCACCTTCTTGTGCCTCGAGTGCGGCACTTGGTGACCAGTCCGAGCTGAAGCGTGGGGCTCGTGCGCCGTCTTGCGGGCACCGGGGGGCCTCTGCGCACCCAGAAGAGCGTCAGAAAAGTCAACAGAAGCGGGTCGGGTGGAAGTTGCAGAGCAATTACAGCCGGGATGGTGGAGATTCTTGCGGTTGTACGCGTGCCGTGAATCTGGACGTCGCTCGCTAATCTCCAAACACGGGTGGTTTCAAAGTGTGAGGACGTGATTTATTGCCTGCTTGGCATCGTACCCGCCATGCGTGGCACACGGTAACCGTGAATGTTGGTGCCTGCGGTCATGAGGCTGGTACGCGATACGCTAGCATTATTACACCAAGACGGGCGACCTGCCCAAGTGATATCGATGCCATGTTGCGAAACGCCTGTCCCACGCGATTTCTTCCAGGGGCAAGGTACCAACCGCCGTCAGCAGTGAGATTGATCTGCTCGAAAATTGCAAAGCGTTGGCCACACCGCACCACGTTGCCACTGGTGCTCACCCTGCCCATCGCCTCGTGCACAGCAGCGGGGTCAAAGCCGTGCGACATATCCCGGGCGAGGTTCTGAAGCGCCTTCTTCTGCTGCACTTTGTTCGCAGAGTCCGGGGAGTACTTCTGGCCCCTTCGCTCAGGCTTCATTTGAAGGTGCTGGTGNGGGGGGGGGGTGTACTCATAGTCGTGCATGCCGTAGTCGTTAGACCATTGACCTCGCATCCCTACAAAGCCGGGAAGGAGCACGCCGGGTTCTCACCGGGAGTCCGTACTCTCATGTCTTGCCTTAGCGGTCAGACAAATGACCACACGTCCTGGAGAACACGGATCATTGTTCCCACTGGACCTATCACCGATGGCCAATTGTTTCTACTGTATCTTGATAGGTTAGTTGACCCTCACGCTGACTCGATCTACGTTATGAATCCGTCAGCGAAGCTAGGATGCCCTCTGTGAAACGGCTATCAACTTTTAACCCACGTCGCCAAAATGTTCCGCAGCGCGACGCATCTTCTCCGCACGAATGGCTTCCTTGGCGGATTCCTTGCTAGTTTTCTTCGCCAGGTGTTCTTCCTCGCGGGCCTGCCTGCAAAGCCGCAAAAGTCGCCAGCATCAGGGAATGTCAGGACTCACAACACTTGCATTTGTTTTTTTTTCTCCCATCATTGGACTCTGTCGTCTGCCCTTCTGGCCCCTATCCTCCACTTCTACCAGCTAGACGACCCAACCCGGGTCACATAGGAGGGGGGGGTTGGACCCCTCTTGCGGTTCCTGCCTGATATATTTTTATCGCGAGAAGGGCACAGCAATCCCTTCCTTCGCGACTCATGAAGTCGATCAAGTTCACTAACAACGAGCTTTGCAGCGCGTCGCTTCCAACGGAGACCAGGATTTGTTCCCTGCCGTATCGAATTATTCTAATCATTAACCATGGAGTGGTCTATACGGCGTACACGACTATCAAGGGACTACCAACCGAAAAAAGTTACCAACGAGCGCGTTGAAGTCTAAAAAACGAAGGTGTCCCATATGTCCCCTCGTGATGAGGGCCGTCTTTGGAGTACTGGAACAAAATGCATGGGTCCCAAGACTACAACACTGCCTTGAAATTAACCCGATGAAACGCTTGAATTACCCCGCGTGCTTTCTTGAGGGTGGGCATGTTCATGCGCTAGTGTCTGTGGCTTGAGCGTTATGCAACATACCTCTTCAGTTGGGCAGCTTCTTTCCGGGAGAAGCGGCCTTCGCCGGCGTCCCGTAGGTGGCGGTTCATGTGGCTAACCATTTCGGCCGTTTTCTGGACGGATTAAAGGAAAGCGGCAAGGAGGCGGAGGCCACACAGGTGTCATGGGTTCTCGAGAGAGCGGGCGCACGCAAAGGCGCTGGGAAACTTGGGTGTATCATGTCATGGTAGGCTCCAAGCACGATGGGAGTGCGATCGATTCGATCAAATCGCTCTGCTGTGTGTCCGCGGATGGCACCGCGAGCGAGAGACCGCATGTTCGAGTCGTTCGTCTTGCGTCGTGACGCTCTCTCGTGGGAAGTCGGAACTTGGGAGGACGAAAGCTTTCTCACCAATTTACGCTCCATGTGCTCTTCCTCGGGGTTGGTAGCAGCAGCCCACGCCAACCCCAGCAGGGTGAAGGTCATGAAAAACTTCATCTTCGGTGTACGAGGTAGTCGTCTATCTCGAGCACGGTGGTGTGGGGGAGGCTGCTTGGTGTCTTCGTAAGTGTGCGGAGAAATCACGAATTTTCAGGACAAGTGTGAAGAGCTCAATCAATTCTCACTTGTGCGGGGCTCCGACGACAGCATACATGCTGTGTGCGCACCTCCTCTTTCATCTTAGTACATCTAGCGAGCCCCCCCCACGGAGCCAACCCTGGTTTTCAAAACCATTGTAAGCTGTACAACTGCATTGCACCGAATAAGGAACAGACAACGGAGAGACAGGCCCGTCGTGACGACGACAGTAGGCAGGTGAGCTTGGCTCGTCCAGCGGGGCGTGATCGACGGCATCCTCGTTGTGTACATGTGTCCTCGCATCTTCAAAGCAGAACCGTGAGAGGGTTGCTGTTTTGTGCTCACGCGGCTTCCATGCAAGCTCGATTAGTCTATCCGTGTACTCGAAAGGTAGGCTTGCAGTCGATGTGTACATATCTGTGCCGCGTGTTTCGGCTAGACAAGGAGGATCAGCGCTTGCAGTTCTTCCCTGTTGTCTGCCAATTGCTTAGAAATGAATAAATACATGTCGCCGTGCGTGTGCGCAGCAGCAGGCATCTGTTTACTTTCAGAGCTCTCGGCCGCTTGCTCGCTGCTGCCCCTCAGTCGTTCCCGGCAGAACACCAAGTGCAGGGCTGTTGCCCGTTCCCCCACCCGGCACACTCTGCCCGGCCAGTCTAAACATCCAGTGGTTTCCCCACATCCCGGCGTGTCCCTTTGCTTTCCCCAAGCTTCTTTGACGCGACGCAGGTCTCACTGCTGTTTTTTCTTGGGGTGCCCCTGGGCGGTGCCAGTGTCTTTGCGCCAAGAGCGCGAGGCTGGCAACGACTCGATGCAACCAGCATCAAATCGAAGTCTTCGCTATGAGCGGGCCGAGGAGAAGACGGGGCCTGTGCCCAAGCCGCGCCCTGCGAATACCGCCCCCGCCGTGAGTACCTAGACTCGGCAGCGTTTACTCCAACCATCGACCCGTGACGGGCGCGAGAACCGAGGTGCATCATTCATTCCTCGCTTGAATCAACAGCAGTCAATCCCTGTGAGAAATGCGCCGGCCGCGTGTGGCGTGTTCAATATGTGCATGTACGTCTAGGAGGCGAAGGGGTCGTTATTCGCGTAGCGCACACTTGCGAGCCAAAACTAAGCTCGGAGACCAGAGCAAGGCGGAGGGTTGGAAGGTGGAAGTCTCGTTTTCTCCCGACTCCTGTCCCAATAGTCTACGTATTCCTGAGCCGTAGGACTGCAGTTCCCCCGCATCTCAACGCCCCGTTCCAATGTTCCAATGTTCCAATCGCCCAAAAAACAGGAGGAAACAAATTAGACTAGTCTGCACAAATAGAACGTGCTGCATGCATGGAAGCTTACAACTGCGCTTGAAACACACCTCAGTGCTACTAGCTACATTTCACAGCCCTGCATGACGAGTTTTTGCTGAGAGAGGTCGATCTTCAGCCTGCTCAATAACAATTTTAGACTTTCGGTTGGATGCACCGTCATCCTTTTCTGAGATATGGTTTGAGAATGTACCGCCTTTTTATCGAGAATTGAGGACCAACGCAACGGTGCGGCGACCGGTCTTCTGTTTCGCTTCGAGGGAATATGAAGGCATATACGTACACCCATGAAGGCCTTGATAATTGGTTGGATTTTTCTTTTTTCTCCAACCAGCAAGAAATACGTACATCCATCAAGGCCTTGATAATTGGTTGGGTTTTTCTTTTTTCTCCGACCAGCAAGAAATTGGCTCCTCACTCTTGAAAATTTATATTTTTGTTTTGTCGATACCGCGGTACAACGTATGTACTGGTAGTCTACATGCAACGGACGTTTTGGGTCCTTTTTTGCTTGTGCGCAGCAGTAGAGCTCCCCTTTCACTCTATGATGAACAAGAAACGTTTGGAGTCGATTTGCTCACACTTGAGGCGGTGTTGTTGTGTGGTTGATGGGCTTGTGCGTACTGGCGCCTTCACCGTTACAAAGCGCGCGGTTTGAACAAGAAGTGTGGTGGCCGGCAGCGCTCTTTTTTCATGTTTCGTTGGCCAGGTTCTTTCGTGGTTGATAACATAGCCTATGGTCACGTTCTTGTAGGTATCCTGCAGTTTTTTCGCCATTGATATCGTATGCAACGATGGTAGCATTCAGGGGCTCTCCTTGCGCTGGTAGGTATCCTGGTGTACTCCTCGAGCGAGTTTTGATTGTGGCGCTTGCTTATTTATATTTTTTTCGCTGCTCTCCGTGGTGCTACATATCAAGATCAACCCGCCCATGCCTAAACGCTACGCGTAGGCCTTAGTCGATGAGAAGGAGGAACACCTGGCCGGCCTGCAGGACAACGTCCGGAGGCCGGCCACCGAATCGCTGGTGCACACCAAGCTTATCGCGGAGGGGCTATTCGACGTGTCGAGGACTTCTGGCGGGCAAGGCACCGGCACAAGCCCATTCGATCAGTTCGCCGCGAACATGCCTCGGGTCAGCGGCAAGAACCCGGACGACCCGAAGCGGTCGCCTGATGCTTTCGACGTGAGTGTTCCGGACTTGTTCATGGAAAGCCATCTTCGTGTTGCTTGCTGGACAGCCCCGTTGGCGAGATGAGTGTTTTTTTTTTTGCACCTGGCCCGGTTGTTCCAAACGATGCATGCGATACATCGTCGCCCCCCCCCCCCCCCCCCCCCCCCCCCCCCCCCCCCCCCCCCCCCCCCCCCCCCCCCCCCNCCCCCCCCCCCCCGCCCTCAACAGGTGCTGGCAAAGGTGTTCGACTTTCAGCAAGATTCGGTCTTGAACCAGCGAGACAACGCCATATCCATGCTGGCTAGCCGCCTATCCAGGTAGGCGTCTTGGACACCAGGCGGCCCACCGGACTTGAGTGGCATTCCAGTACTTTTTCGTTTCAGTTGTGTGGATGCGCTCATTGCCGGCGAGGTGAAGAGCATCACGGCCCTTTTTTCTATTTTGTCTTGTGGGGGACGATTATTGTTTCAACCACAACAGCTCCAGCTGCTTACGCTGGCTCTATGCCACTGCTGCTAGCTAGGGTTTTCTAGCCGACATGCCAGGTGCACCAGTCATGTACCTCCAACATACGATATCTGCCGGTGACCGAAGTTTCTGTGCGGTACCAAAGCGAACAACCATGCTCCGACCATTGGTATCGCTGGTGCTGTATGCTTCCCTTTACACATTCCGTCTCCTTGCCCCCCCGTGTGTCTGTACACCCACGCCCATATTTCGCTCCCCGCGTTCCTTCATTATTTTTTCTTCCTTGTCTCTTCTCTCACGCGAATCACCCAGGGCTGTTGGGCATGAGCTCGAGAACCAAGTGACTCTGCAGGACGCTGGTCTCGTCCTGGAGGCCTTTCGAGGAGAGCTTTTGTCCAACTACACACGGTGGTGCAGGTGAGAACAGCGGTACTTCCCATCACTTCAGGGCCTCTTTTTTTTTGCGCAACGCTGGGGGTTGTGGATTTTCTCTGGTGTACGGGACGCACGGGGTTATGTGGATGTGGTGAAGGGCACCCGCCGAGCGAGGCGGGAACACGGCATCCATGGCTTCTCCCTCTGTGTGTCTTGTACCACATCGGGAAGCTACACCGAGAAACCTCGAAGCAATGCGAAGCTGGAGTCCGTGCAAGCATACCAGGTGCTGGGCCCTCGGCGGCTCGTGGCTCCTGCGGGGAGGGGGCACGCAGCTCGGACGATTCTCGTTTGTCGGCTTCTCCCTACAGCAGAGCTCACACTCGACGCATGTCGCTGTTTGCCGTGCCTTGATGTGATGACTGCCTGGTCCCAAAGCCTCCCACGTGCCATATCCATCGATTTGAAGGCGGAAGGGGATTCATTTGGCAACTCGCTCGGTTGGCCGTTCGAAGTGCAGTACCGATTGACGCCCCCCCGGTGTTTGCCCCCCCGGTGTTTGCCATCGGCGTTGGGTTTCCGTCGCTTGGCAACGACGTTGTAAAACAAGCCGCCCCCCCCCGGTGTTTGCCATCGGCGTTGGGTTTCCGTCGCTTGGCAACGACGTTGGAAAACAAGCCGCCCCCCCCCGGTGTTTGCCATCGGGGTTGGGTTTTCGTCGCTTGGCAACGACGTTGTAAAACAAGCCAATTCACTTCGTGAACTCGGCAACCAGGTTACCGTTTTTTTTTTTACCTCCGGTTTTTTTTTTGGCGGTAACCATAATGGTGGTCGAGTAGATCATGTTGTGCGGGGTGGAGAACCCTCACTCCGCGCAAGGGGGATGATCGCACCACGTTGTGTTAAAATGGTCAAGCACCCTCGAGGCAGTTACACAGTGCTTACAACTGTCTCTGGAAGTGAAAGCACCAGAAAATAAATTAAGTCATACGCAGCTGTTATCCGTACGCAAGGAAGCAAGCACAAGATGCCGAAAACGCTTAGCAGGATGCAGCGCACGCTTCATGCGACTCGCCGAATATCTCACGGCGCTTCGCGCTTGGTGATGTGAGAGCCTGGTCCGGTGAGAACCCGGCGTGCTCCGTCCCGGCTTTGTAGGGATGCGAGGTCAATAGTCTAACGACTACGGCATGCACGACTATGAGTACACCCCCTTCCGTTTTTGTTCCCGTGCAGCTTTCTTGGCGTTACCCCGGTCTCGCTGCAGCCGCTGTTCACACCCCCCGGAGGCGATAGAGCGATAGAGTTCGCCATGGCCACGGAGGGTGCGCTCATGCTGCTCATCTGGGGAGAGGTAAGAGAGGAGCAGCGTTGGTGTTTGTTGAATTTCGGTTGGCTGACTGCTTCGGCTGGTTAGCAGGATATGGCGATGATTGTTTTGGTTGAGTGTTTGATGCTTTTGGGTTGACGGGCTGGTGGTCTTGGCCTTGGTGGTCTGACAGGTCGACTATTTTTTGGGGTTGCTACGTTGCTACGGGAGAGGAATGTTCAGGGCGATTATTCCCGTTTTTCATTGAGATGAAAGTGGCGCTGCCGCCGTGTTACCTGGGCGCTTCGTCGTCTACAGCTCGGCTGGTTTCGAGCTGTGCCTGATGAAATGCTTCAAGATCGCGCTTGTCCAGTGCCGTATAAGTGGTTGATCGTGTAGGTGTATTGGTGGTCTCTACTGGAGGCGGTGACATGACGCAAGCACCGGCCTCCCATGATGTTCACCATGGCCGCAAAAGGAAGAATCGCACGTTTGCGCCGGAGGCGTTGTGTATTTGTGCTAGAGCATTGTTAGTTTGTGTGGGAAACGCGTGTCCCTTTAGTGGGAGAGGCGCAGGTGTGCGCTTGTGTAGGAGAGGAACGTTTTCGGTTTTTGTGGGAATTTACGTGGGCCACACACACCGCGGGTGTAGTGCCTTCTACAACTATGGTCGCCGTGCCCACAGCACGCACCACCAATGTCGCGGCTCCATGGCAGATCGCCGAGAGGCTTTCGAGTGCGAAGTCTTGCCGAGTTATTGAGGATCGGAATCAGACGTTTGCAGAAAAGACACAAGGCCATTTTTGGTCGGAGGTATTGTAGGGTGATTCTGATCGATCCATGGGAGAAACACGCCGAGATGTCACAGACGATCTCCCATCTTGGCTCACGTTGTTACGCCGCTTCCTGCTTGCCGCCTATCGTCGCTCAGTGATCGATGTTTGTTTCGCCTCTGTTTTGTACCGTGCAGTATGCGCGCCTTGCTCTTATTTGTCTCCTCCTTGATCCTCCCGCCTGCCTGCCCTGGTCGTCGCCGCTCTCACACGTGTCACTTAAACACCTCGTTGTCCTCTTGTCGAGTACGTTCTCGCGCTGGTTTTCTCTCGTTCTCGTCGTTCTACAATCGTCAAAAACGCCGCTGGTGTGCTATCGTACGCCGATGCATCCGCCGTTTCCGATTTGTTTTCGCGTTCTGCTGTCGGTTCCTTGGAACTTGAGTGTTGCAGGCGAGCAACCTGCGCTTTTGCCCCGAGTTCCTCTGCTTCCTGTACCACAAGATGTCCCACACGTTCAGGACCGTAATCGAGGGCAAGTCGCCGGACATTACGGTGCGTGGCATAGCCTTCGTTGTTATCGTTTGGATACACGGCTTCGTGTCCTATGGTGATGTAACCCGTTCTCATAAACCAGGCAATATTAGCGCTCAAGGCGTACAGATGCTAGAAATACATGACGCGCGGTCGAGACGGGCATTGTCAAAACAGTATTTCATAGCGGTGTTTCCTCCTCTTCGCAATAGCTTGGTAGACGCTGCTGTTGCTCGTGCGACGGGGATGAGCTACTGCTTCTATTTACCGTTTCTCTCTGGCGCGTTGTCACCGCGGACTCTTTTTGTGGGTACACCGTCCGCGTCGTTCCTGCTGCGCAAGGTTCCCTCGTTCCTCGACGAGGTAATCACCCCGGCCTACAGCCTCTTGGCGAACCAGCTGTCCAAGATCGGGCACGGAGTGATCGACCACTCGAGCGTGAGAAACTACGACGACTTCAACGAGATATTCTGGCAGGAGGAGTGCCTCAAGCTCACCGTCGCCACCATGTTCAAGGGAAAGACTCTCGAGAAAAAGTGAGTCGAGAGGGTTCCGTGAATCCAGGAGAGGCGTGAGCTCGTCGACTTTGGAAGGCGTGTTGGTTGAGGCTTTGGGAAGGACCTTGACAGCATTAGTCTACGACCGCGGAAAGCATGTATTCGAAGATCATCCCGTGCAGCTTTGATTCCTTGGGCACACCCCAGCTCCACACCCCAGCTCCAATTTAGTACTGGTGTCCACGGTCGTGCTCGGCTGAGGTCCCCGGAGCACGTATTGAACAAGCCCCTTGGCTTCAAGCGTGCCTTGGCCGCGCTGCACCAGCCCTATCGCGTCTTGATGTGTTGTCCCCCGCCGGCACTCGTGGTTCCCAATACATTGCATTCCCGAAACTGAATCTTAAAAAATTCCCAAAACACCTATGGTCCGTCCGGGACAATTTGTCCATTAACGTTTGGTGCGATAACTTTCGTAAAAAGAAGAGTTGGAAGGCGATACAACGATATTCGTGATCGCCTCGCCGAGCTACGTCGATCGCTGCAGTTTTTTTTTATTTTTGAGAAAACGCGACGTTTTTGGCCAAAATGATGCATGGAGCCCCCTCACCACACCACGGAACCCCCCTAATTGTACGACGGAAACTCCCAGGGCTTTCAAGCTCTGCACCAATGTGACTGCTTTGTGTATACTCATGTTCATATATGGTATGCATATTTAACACCACGTATCCTATTGCATTTGTACAAATATTACACACAAACCTGCTGATCACATGCATACATTCATATGGATATGCGTGGTGTGCGTGCGTGCGACCTTTTCGTCTCACAGCGGCGAGCAACTCATGGAATATCTCATGAAAAATAGTTTTTATGCAAAATCTGAAAGAAAGCCCATCTGCGGAATTTCGAGAGGAATCGTTTGCCGCATGTTATTTTCAAATCGTGAAGTTGGTTATCGCAAACGATTGCGAACAAAATGCCCTGCCAGAATCGGTTCATGGGGCATAACTTCGTCGTTTCATCATATTTTTATTATCGGAAAGACAATCCACCTGGCAAATTCCGAGAGCTATCGAAATCCGGTCTCAGATTTTTTCTCTGCAAAGTAGACCCTCCAGCAGGTTATGAACGAGCAGTTCTGGTTATTCTGAAATAAAAAGTCAAGGAGTGAAAAAAATATAAAAAATATTCAATAGATTTCTGCGCCTGGAGATAGGGCCCATTACGGTGCTTTAGAAATTCAGAACAATCCCTCCTACCCCGAGAAAAGTGCACCTAAGTGCAGGGTGACAAGGTGGATTAATTGTCCCGGACGGACCATACCACGTATGTTGACCGGCAGCAAGGTTATAAGAAAAGCTACATGAATTTCTCTGCCAAACATGTCGCGTCAGTATACGTTTCAGCCGACCGTTCCTTCTTCAAGGGGAAAGTCCGCTGCTGGCCGTTCGTTCCACCATTAACTCCGTGTACTGTACCGTGTACTGTCACCACACCTCAACTTGCTCGTTCCTGACCCCTGTTGGATGCGGATGAGTTCGACGTCGACCCTTTCGGTAAACAGGAACACCTTCTTCTTGTCCAGAGGCGATCGAATTGTCCGCATCCTACAGGGGTCTGGAACGAAGCGCGTTCCCAATGCGTCTATTTTTGTAAACATGATATACGCGTGAACGGTCGAACGACGGCCGAGCAGTGGGCCTGCCCCTTCCAGAAGAAACGGCCGACCGAGTGCTCCATGGACAATGTTGTCGTATACCATTGGCAAACAATAATTCGTTTATTTGTTCCTTGTGTCGAACGCGGCTTAGGAATAATTCGTTTGTGCACAGTGCGGAAGAGTCTGTCGCGCTGTTATTGTTGGTTGTACGATGTATGCCTAATGTTGTACGGGGAGCCCTGAAGATGGCATTGCCGCCACCCTCAGCGCACGTGGAGTGCTCCTGGAAGTCCAACCTTACTCTGACACATGGGCGGACCCGTCTGTATCAACCGCAAGAGAGGATGACCAGTGTACCCTCACTCACTCACTCTTCCTCCTCTCAACCATCCAACACATGCAAGCCGAAGTGGATGTACTGCTCAACACCAGTGTGCACTCACTCACACTCTTCCTCCTCCCAACCATCCAACACACGCAGGTTCCAGAAGACTTTCGTAGAGCGACAGAGCTGGCTGGTGCCCATCTTTCACTTCTGGAGGGTGAGTGGAGTAACCCATTGATTGGTTTGAGAGATTATCGGCAGGGATACGGCGATATGCGTGCATGCGTCGAGGGTTTTCTTACGCTTCGAGGCAGGGGTGTTTTGCTGCGGGGATGGTTAATTTTCGATGAGGGAGTGTGACTCACATTAATTAATGAGATTCTCGCTCGTCGCTTCTTGCCCCTGTGGAACTTCTAGAATTCACACTTGACGTGAGTCCCGATGGAAAGGTAATTTGGTCTTGACTTTTCGCCGAGTGTTGCAGTCAACCTTCAAGACGCATTGCACTACATGCAAGTTGTCACATTTTTCCGTCACTTGCTTACTATCTGCGCCCCGCACGCCTCGTGTGTCCTTTCGCGCCTTCCCGGTCTTGAACTACAAAAATATCAAACTAAGGTGTACGCGCTTCACATCATGGGGTTGCACCTGATGATCGTGGGCGCCAAGTGCGAGCAAGACTTGGGGGAGTGCAACTATGCCCAGTGGGCGTCGACCGTGATCACCCTCTACGCGTGCTCGTTCGTCAGGGTACATATTTTCTTCTACCAGTAGTACGTTCCGCCTCTCGCATTTGAGCCGGTCCTTTGGCGTGCTCTCCTCTGAACTTGGTGTCCTCCACACTCTCTCTTGCACTATTTTGTCTTCTCTTTCGACACACGGCCGCATAATGCCGTTCAATCCAAAGCGTACAGACTTATTGGTACGATAGAACAGCCACCAGCGTTTGTCCAGGGTCACGTGCGAGTGTCCCCTGTAGTCTGAAACGCCCCAATTTTTTGTACGTGCCGTGCTCACATCCACTCTTTGTGGTGGCACGTGTCAAAGTCTCCCTTGTGCTCTCCGTACGGGGAGCAGGCGCACAGGACCTCCTCCGCGACACAAAGCGATCCGTCCTTGCGGGTGTTTTGGGTTCACCGCGGCTAGGATTATGGTTCACCCCCTCCCTGTAGAGGCGATTCACCCCCGACCGAACCGAAGAACGTTCCGCGTGCCTCTTGGTGAACAAATCATGGACACCATTGAGGGCAGAGCCAAGGCGGGCAGGATCCCGTCCATGCTACCACAGTAGCAGTGACCAAACTTCGCGAAATATCTGCTTTTGCACCTCTCCATCTGTTAACCCAGGACGTGTGGGACATCAAGCAGGCGGCGTTCGTCTTCGGAGGTCACCGGGGACCCTTTGGGCAGCTCCTCCTCAACATCGTGCGCGGCGGGCTTAAGGCGGTCATCACTCTCCTCCTCGGTAAGTTTTTTTTCGTTGACCTATTCTTGACTATCATGCCTACGTTTGTATGATGGGCGGCGTCCTCCGACTTCACTTCCAAGATCAAGCCAGAAGTTCACCCCCCCCCCACCCCGTAAAAAAGGGTCCAGGAAAATAAGCAGACACACACAGCGTCCCGCCACCCCTCTCTCTTCGCACATGGCATCATGCTTTCTTCCGCCTCGACTGTTTTCGCACACCCCTTCCTCTCTCTACTTTTGTTAATGTGTTGTGTTTTTTGTTGCTTTTGGGATATGTACGCTTCGGCGGCGCGTGGTCTTGATGGTGATCGTGATGGCGATGGCCGCGGTGAAATTGCTCAGTGGTGATGTACTGGTCCGACAGCGAGTTCTTCCCGTACACGGCCGCCGTATTCTTCATCATCGCCGCTGCGTCAGAGGTGAGGAGCGTGTTGTGTCGGTTCGACCAAACCGTCGGGGTTTGTTGTTTCCGTTCGGCGTTACCCTTCGTGCGGATTCCCGGTTCCACGCGTGCCTTGTTCCCGTAGGACGCCTCGGCCCGCTTCAACCTCAATGCATGGGAGTAGTCGTGGGGCTAACCGTGCCGTGCACATTTTGTTCGTTCCCCTTGCCGCGAAAATGCCTTGGGTGGTGGTACAACACCTGTTTTCAACCCTCTTGAGCTACGAAGATCATCCTCTTGGCGGTCCCTGTCATGTTTTACACTCTTGGAGCTACTGCCTTACGGTACCACTTTTTTTTCTTTTTACTTAACTTTAGTCGCCGGCGTTCTATCTGACAGGCGGTGATGCTGACCGAGCTGTGGTGGGGCATCGCCTCGTACGGCAAGTGGGGCACTTCCACGAAGCGCAGCTGCGCCGGCGGCGGCTTCGCGGCCTGCCTGCCCTCTCGCCTGCGGCAACTGGGATGGTCGTTCATCGGGAGCATGAGCGGAATCAACTCGGTCAACCTCTACACCCAGGTACGGTCGGTGCATGCGTCGGAGGAGGATGCGCCGCTGTTTTCTATTTCGTTTGTCCTGCTGCTACTGCTGCTGCTTCTGGTGTGCCCACGAGGCTTCGGTGTCCTATGTGGCGACCGTGTCGTGTACCAGGTTGGTGGTTGGGCCGCTTGTTTTTGAGCGCGCTGTGTCAGGTGTGAGACGTGTGCGGAGTTGTTCGTGTTTTGTGATGGCAAGGTCGTTGTGATGCCAAGTTTTTCTTGCGATTTTTTATTCGTCTTCAAAATTTGACACTAGAGATGCAGTTTCACAATCAACAGAGCTACGTTGCTGGCTTCAAATCAAGAAGTCATCTTTGAAGAGCACTTGGCCGAGTTTTTAGCACGTAATCTTCAAATTGCAGCGATGACACCTCCCTCTAGCGTAACGTTATTCCCATTTCTAACTCTGATGCCTGCCGCTGCTGCTGCCGCCGTTTTCTGTGGTTGTAGGTGCATTCTCTTCCTCCGATAACGAAGAGGGTGGCCTACATCCTCTTCTGGGTTATCGTCCTCACTACCAAGGTGTGTAGCTGCTGCGGCTGCGGCTGCTGCTGCGGCTGCGGCTGCTGCTGTTTACGTTATCGTACAATGGAACAACGACAGATAAATGTTAGGAGTTGTTGCCTCCGTGCCTTTATGGCATTCTGTCGATACGCGTACGAAATGGGAGCAGCCTAGGCTTCTTGTGGCGGGCAAGTCTTTCAGGGGGTGCTACGGGTGTTAAGAACTGCGGCACATACGGCTCGATGTCCACTACTGTACCACGTTTTTTTCGAAGACGAGGGCAGGGGTGTTTCGTGGTTCAAACCGCCCTGGCCTGGCTTACAAGACGCACGCAAGTTTCAATCTTGTAGTGATGACTCGGAGTGGGCGTTTGTTTGCTGCCGAAGACGGAGAATCCACCCTCGATTTTTCGTGTGAGAGTGCTCGTCGATAGATCGTGTGTCATGCATTATGTCTCGTGATCCGTACCGCAGATCCTGTTCAGCTACTTCGTGGTGATCAAGAAGATGACTCTGGCGACCTACACCCTCAACGAGGCTGATCCCACGGACTACGACTTCGGCGTCCTCGGCACTCTCGAAGACACCGGCAATTACCTCTACATCGTCGCACTGTGGCTTGGTAGCGGCCTCATCTACTTCCTCGACATGCAGATATGGTGAATAGTAGGAGAGGGACAGGAAGGCGCGCAGACATAGACAGCCAGACAGAGAGACGAAAACACAGGGAGAGACAGGCAGAGAGACTGAATGGCACACCGGCAGACGAAACGTTTGTGCGTTGTGACCTTGAGAGCTCGAGAGGTCGCGGGCGCTCGCTCTGTGTGTGTCGCTCATCCGAAATTTCGTCGTGATCTAGCCCGTGCCGCCACATTCATGCCAAGACACCATGACGGCGTTGTGACGTGCAGGGTTGGGGTTAGGGACGGAGGACTTTTGTTTGACGCGCTAAGGCTCTCGACAGTTTCGTGCGCGACGACAAGAACCATGTGCTCAAGACGACCCCTTGTGTGTGTGTTGTCGACGCCCGTCTAGGTTCGTGGTGTGGGCTAACATTGCGGCTGCTTGCGAGGGCGTGAGGCGGAGAGTAGGCGAGCTCCACTCTGGTTCGCAAGTGGTGCGCGCTTTCAGCCATCTTCACAAGGAGTTCTTCAAGTGAGTCATGGGTGGTGGTGTTGGTGTTGGTGTTGGTGTTGGTGTCTTTGCACGTTTTCGGCACTGCCGAGGGCCTCGCACCGCTCGTGAAGGTTGCTGCGGAGGCGTCATGTCATGGCAGCCTTCGAGCCCGGTGAAGACATTTTGTCGCAAAGCTCCCCGCCCTCGCCCCCCACGTTGTACCGATCGACTCGACCCCAGCACGGCCTCAATCGACTGTGGCGTCACCCCCCTACGCACACAAAACAAACCACGAACTTGTGATGGTGTTGGGCAGTGTGGGACGCGCGCCACCACTCTAGCAGGTGTCGAACGTGGATATGTTGTCTAGCTCGGATGTACTTGAACTCCGTTTGGTTGGTTTGCTCCTTCTCCCTGGGCTCGCTTGGGTGGTGGCCTTACTGTCGCACATGGGGCACACCCTCGGACCATCTCAACATCTCCTACGTACTCCGTAATACTAGAACTCCTCGGCTAGTTACGTTCTTGTTCGTCTAGTATGGCAGATTCTCACCTTCCCAAGGAATCGGACGATGGCCGAGTCCTGGAGCGCTTGACACCATCCTAACAGACGCCGCTCGCCGCCTCACCAAACAAACGCCCCCAGCTACTTGAAGCGCGAGATGCAGAGCACGACGATGCACACGCGGTTCGCCCACGTGTGGAACGAGATTGTCGACGCCATGCGCGAGGAGGACATCCTGTCCAACAGGGAGCGGCTGCAGCTGCGCTACTTCCTGATCAACCTCCGACTGCCCACCGCCGATCCCAACGCGCGCAACGCCAACTTCGCCCCGGAGGCTCAGGTGTGGATGGGTGCGTTGTGAAGATACCTGCGTTGTTTGTATTGCGGCGAAGACCGTAGTGACGGTGGCGGAAGCGGCGGCGTTCGAAGACCCGTGTCGTCGAGAGCTTCTTTGATGTACAAGTATGGATTTTGGTGTCCTCTTCGCGGTGTATTAGTCGAGCATTTGGAAGTCAGTTTCGGGTCTGTGGTGTATTCTGCAGCCGAGGCATTTCTTCGCCTCTTTGTTGAGCCCCCGCTTTCGCCGTACCCACGTGCCTACTTTCGATCGAAGTCAAGGCGCTTCGGCGGTGTCGTTCTTTTGAGACTGCTGAGAATGCGTATGCTCACGGGGGGTGGGGCATCCCTCATCCCTTCCCTGCTTTCCCCCCACGTTTGCAAGCTCTGGTCTCATAATGTGTAGCCCCTAGAAAGTGTCAGCAGACGAACGATACGAGGCGGCTTGTGTTTCTGCTTTCCTTTCATCTGCTGCTGGTGCTGCACGTGCCTGAGGGTGTCGCTGCTCCTGTTGATGTTTGGTGGTCGCTTTTGATAACGACTTGTTCGTTTCATGGCCGTGCGCTTTCATTCACTCCTGGGCGTGTGTACCTGTTCCCGTCTCATGCGTTGCAGGAGGGGGAGTGGGGACCCCTGTTCACGCTATTGCCGGAGTTCCTCATGTCGGGAGCGGTACAGCGCGCGGTACAGTCTGCTTCGGATTTCGGGTGAGTTGTGGTCGCACTTTCAATTCGCTTTTTCTTTCTGTGTCGTGGTTTTTGGTGCGTTGGTTGCCGGCGGACGTAGGTCGTCGTAACCTTCTGTGGTGTGGATCGTTTGCCCCCGGAATGAATCATATCCATGAGGATCGCCTGCCCCCCCGGATGAATATGCGGGGCCCCTCTCCATGAGGACGATTTTGGACGCCGTTTGTAGGGTCACACCTCGTGTTAATATTACACTCTTGACGTATTACCACTGTAGTGTGGCCCCTAATACGCTCTGCTGTGTGGTATGCATCCCAAGCTTAACGCTATTTTTCTTTGATCGGTAGCGCTCTTCCTCACTCTTTTTGTATCACATGTTCTATCAAGGCTTCGTTCACGCTTTTTTGTTTTTGAATGTTCACTCGGCATCCTAGGCTCATGTGAACCGTTAGGCTTCATTCTTGTTTTCGAAATCTTTCCGCCCTTTCAGGAAGCAGATCGCAGACGACGTTGCGGAGATCAAGCGCGAGGAGAGCCTGGCCATGCACCAGTCTCGCAACAACGTGGCCAGGGCCTCGGGGGTCTCCGTGAACGACCGGGAGGCCAACGCCAGCAAGCTGCGCGCCAAGCTTGCTTACCACCAGGCGAAGTTCCTCCTCTCCAACGGGAACGACCAGGTATGCATATGTCCACGCGTGCCATGTGAAGTCGAAACACAGGTGTAACTAGGTCGTCCCGGGAACGATACGTCGCTATGAATTGATCGCTGTCATGATTCATCCTGGACCCGTTTTCTTTGGAAATCGTTGTTTTTTCGGGTAAGAAAGAAAAACGATTGGAGTTGATACTTGTGTGTATATGAAACTATGAAATTGCCGCTCTTTTGGCCTAGACTCTTCCATTGTATGTATGTTGGATATCGATGGTGTTGAGAAAGATTCCCCGATGTAACTGCGCATGGCGCTGTGAACTCGTGTGTATGAGTTGGCTTTTTTCAGCAAGAAAACCAAAGTAAGTGTGGTGGGCGTTGGTTGGTGATCGTTGAAAGCCGGGGGAAAAGATAATGCGTTGCATCCACCACTTGCGCCACCGACGGCAACATTGCTAACTGCTGCTACACCGCATGGCCGGGATACAGACGTTGATTACGTTACTGCGCCAATATGTGCTCCTGCCCCCAACAGGTGTCGTCGGAGATGGTGCGGCAGCTGTCTGCCACCGCTTTCATCCTCATGGACGCGCTGTGCAGGAACGACGACTTGTCTCGCTCGCTCTGGAACCTTCACCGGGCTCTGTTTGCCAGCGATGTTGGCCAGGGTGGGAAGGGCATCGGAAAGTGAGCAACAGAACGCTTGTTGTTGTTGTGGTTGTCGTCGTGGCCGTTGTTGTTTGTTGCTGTTGTTGTCGTTCTCGTAGATGTGCGTGTTTTTGAGACTTCTCTTACGCCACCGAGGGGGGGTGTTGTCTTGTTGTTTCAACAGCTCCCTCCCGTACTGTAGGCGTTTACTTCCATGTGTTGTGTTCAGTTGCTCTCAAGTGCGCGTTCGAATTGCTGTGTCCATCTTCACGTTTTGCTGACGCTTGTATTGCTCTTTTCATCCCCATTTGCTTGGTGCTTCGACCCTTCTTCGAAGGTCGGAGGGCTGGATCGCGGCGCTGACGAACTTCAGCGACAACAAGGACAAGCCGGCCGTGAAGGTGGTGGCTTCCTTCAGCAAGAGGCACCTTCTCTTCTCCGTTCAGAAGTGAGACATTCTTATTCTTGCTACCTATCCTTCTCCCGCTTGCCAGCAGCTAGCTGGTCTTGTGCCCGTAATACGTGGTGTGCCGTTGCAATCACGTCGCCTCGCTCCTATTGTGGCCGTTGTTGCGGTTACCTCCTGCGCAAAGAATATCTTCGCTTGATTTCGCAGGTGAAATGCGTGCGTGCATGCCGCCATTCATTTGGCGACGTTGACAAAACTGTTTTCGATGCATCGGTGTGCTCGTTTTGGTACTACCACCGCTGGTTTTGTGTGTTTTTTTGCACCTCCTTGGGAGTTTTGTTGCCTGACTTCACGGCAGCAACTGTGTCATCAGCAGAGTATCGACCCCAGCTTGACGATACCAGCTAGTGCTGCTACTGCTACACTATTGTCAACTTGGCAACAACGGCAACGACATGGCATTAATATCGCCAACAATTTACAACGTTTTTTGCCAGCTTCCCCGGCTTCGTGTCCGCCATGATCGAGCTGGTCAAGGCCCTGAACAAGCACGTCACCACCCCCAACTGGAACAAGGACGTCGCCGCCAAGCTGGACAAGATGGTTGAGGCGGTAAGCACGACGCAGAGAGGGATGCAGAGGGAGCACGGGCTGGTGGACGAATATTGCTGTGCGTGCGTGTTGTTGGTTGTTTTTTCGACACTCAGGGCAGTCCGGCGTTATTTTGTTCTCGGTTGGAAGTGTGTGTGTTGTGATTTTTGGGGGCGTCCTACTCCTCGTTATGATGTTTCGCACGTCTCGCTGTCGCCGTTGCCATGCATAGTGCAGTACCGACAAGCTTACCACCCGCAGGCTGACGCACTTGGTTACACACATGATCATTTCATTGCTTCGGAAACACGAATTCTCGACGATATATGCCCACCATGATTCGAAGTCTAGAAATGCTTGCCCGCTGACGGCCTGAATAACAATCTAGCCCGACGCAAAGCGTTTTCAGGTGGGTCCTCCCCCGCCCCCGCCCCCCATTTACTCTGGATTTGATTTTCCCGAACCCTCTTGCCATCGGGCGTGACGCTGCATGTTGTGCTTTGCTGCGGCCGTCACACGCAGCTGTTGGCTCTGCTGGAGACGAAGACCGACTCCATTCCCGATAGCAAGGCGGCGAACGCCTTCCTCAAGCTTCTCCAGGTGGGTGTGCAGGGGCAGGAGGTCCGTCCTGAGTTTGGGTGGCGTCGGGCTAGATTTTTGTGTATTGTTGGCACCGCCCTAGAAGACAATGATGCTGTGGCGGCTGCTGCTGCTGCTACTGCTACTGCTACAGGGATAGGGTCAAGGAGTTTGCTTGACCTGCGCTGTTGTGGGATGAGTGAATTCATGCCGTCTTGATGTAGTCAGATTTCCCTGGATGGTGGAATCTTCACGAGGGTCTCAACGAAACACCCCCCTCCGGCCCACCTTTTCATACGCACGCCGATGTACACTATTGACCCAGCGTAGCTCAAAGCGCTGAAATCAATGGAACCAGGCCCTTGATTCCGCTAGCACGGAACACAATCACACTGCTTGCTGTGCTGCCCTGACCATACATCCCACAACATGAGCCACACCGCTGTGCTGACGTGACCACACAATGCTGTTGCATTCCGACACATGTACACGTGTGGCACTTAACATCTATCAACCGACGATTCATATCACCAGAACGTTCGGCTCAACCTGGACGCATGGAGGTCGTCCTTCAGCGAGGCCGGGGGCGCGGCGCCGGGAGCTCGGCCGTTCAAGTCGACGGCGAAGGAGTTCCTCCGTCGTACACAGGTGTTCCTGGAGGCACCCGGCAACTCGCAGCCCGGACTGTGAGTGGAGAAACAGAAACTGTTTTTTTTGTAGCATACGTCGGAATAACCGCAGGGACATGGCGCTCCCTTTGTGCCCTCTTGCTTGGCCGGCGTTTGTGCGAGCTGTTGGCACCTGGAGACCCAACAGTTTTTTTGCTTGTTGCTTTGCTGGATATTCTCGGCCCGGCCAGCTGTCGGCCATGCAGCGGAAGCCCGTTCCACACGTCTCGCAAACACTGACCCCGACGAGGGTGACTTTCTCCTTGATCTCGCCGCGTGCGGCGCAAGCAACGGAGCACAGCTCGACTACCAAGCACAAAGAAAAACCGCGAGATTGAGCCACGGGCGCATGAGGACAGGCCGCCGTGTTAGACGCCGAGTCTCCCCCGTTGCTGCCTTTTTGCCGTTCTCGGGTTGTAGGCACTGTTGTGGTTGACCGATAGGATTGCTGGCTTTTTTCCGGTTCGCGGGTTGTCGGTACCACTGCTGTTGTGGTTGACAAATAGGATTGCTGACTCTTTTCCGGTTCTCGGTTTGTCGGCACTGTTGTGTTTGGCCAATAGGATCAAAGGTGCGGAGGCCCGACGGCGGATCACCTTCTTCGTGAACTCGCTGTTCGTGGAACAGCCTAAGAAGAGGAGGATTCTGGAGATGCCCTCGCTGACCACGCTGACGCCCTACTACAACGAGGACGTGGTGAGTGAGATACCGTGGCGTTGTCACCTCTGTTGTTTTTGTCGCTGTTACTGCTGCCGCCACTGCTGCTGCTACTGCTTCTGCTGTTGCGGGCATGAAATAAATTTCGTGAGTACATGTATGACGGGAACGATAATGTTTTCGGCGATCTAGAAAAGGTGGAGTACGGTTGAGATTCAGATGCTCCGTCGAGGACGTGGCGAAGCAGAGAAAGCGAGCAAAAGAGAGAAATGTCATGGTGGTATAGTGTGTGCGTCCACCACTGGCGCTGTGTATGACCTCCAATTCATCGGCGTCATTGATGGCTCTCTATTGTCGTCAATGGTTGCATTTGCCACGTGCGTTGTGATGACTTTGTCTTAGTTGGCCGCGATGCGCCGGCAACGTGCCATCGTTGCTGTGAAGAGTTTGACGCGTGGCGTTGGGTGAAGAGACTCGCGCGGAATCTTTTTGGCGAATGGCCTCGTTGTGCACGTGCAGGTGCTGTCGATGGAGAGCCTTCGAGAAGAGACCCAGGACGGTGTTACCGTACTCGAGTACCTCAGGCAAGCAACCATCCTGCACCTTTTAGCTTATCTCCCGTCTTTTTCGTTTCGTTCTGCAGTGCCTGTATTGGCGTGTATTATCATGCCAAGGATGCAACGAGAGGGCCGTCAGCTTGACCGGTCAGAGGGTTGTTTGTGGTGCTTTGCCGACCACGCATAGCTAACGTAGACTTTTCGTCATCGTTGTTTTTGTTTCGTGCCATCTAGGTGTGTTGTACAACTGTAAGTACAATTGACGCACCAGGCGGGGTCGCACTGGAGCAAGTCTTGCATGTTTTTTTTCTCGTCGAATTTTGGCGTCCTTTTGTGGACCCTCTCTCTCCCCCCTCCCCCTTTTGACGAAGTACGTTGGCCATCGGTGATCGGTCCTTTGTAAAACAATGCCCCGTCCTCTCTAGGACGCGGTGTCAATGGCCTAACAACTAGTAAATAAGGCACGCAGACGTGAGTACGCCCGCCCCCCTCATCACCACCACATCAACAAGAACGACAACAGCAATATCGCAACCACCGCCAACGAACACCAACAACGATAACGATAACGATAACAACAGGTCCATCTACCCGGACGAGTTCGACAACTTCGTGGAGAGGATGCGAGTGATGAGCACGAGCAAGAGCAAGAAGTACCTCTTCGACCTGGACGTGATCGACCCCATGCTCGACGTCGTGCTGAACACGGATCTTGGCGCGGACCTTTCCCGAGATAGGTATGAAACCGTCGTGGTGTAGACGTACGTAGGCGGTAGGCCGCAGGTCGAGGCGGTTTCCGTGCGCTATAGGTCGCTGCTTGAGGTCGTGAGCGCGATGCACACGCACATTGTAGGCCGCTGCTTGAGGCCGTGCGCAGAGGCAGCCGCCGCACGAGCGTCCTCTGCGACATGTCTCTCCATCTTGTAACCGAGCGTTGGCACTATTTTCTTTGGCAGAGTCAGCCACAGTTGCTTGTGTGTGGATGTTTTTTGTTTACCCCGTGTCGCGTGTATTTTCCGCAAGACCTAACTGCGTTTCGTAGCCATTTTTTTCAACAACAAGAACGCCGAAACAATGACGCTCAACATCTACTCCGTTCTCGTTTTTTCCGTTACACCACCCTCCAATCCTTCTTCCAGCGTGTTGAAGAGGGTGGAGAGAGCCATCATGACGGCCGTGCAGAAGAAGCGGAAGATCGACGGTCTCGACCCGGTGGACCCTAAGGAGGTGGAGGAGGCCGCCAAGGCCGTGGACGTGGACCACATGATGCTCCAGCTGCAGATGTGGGCGAGCAACCGGGGGCAGACCCTCTCGCGGACGATCCGCGGGATCATGTACTACAGCCAGGCAGTCCGCCTGCTTGCGGTGGTGGAGAACATGTAAGGGGCGGGGGGCGCCGGATGGGATCACGATCGATGTTTGGTCGGTACATCGGATTTTTTTTTCCGGGCGCCTGGGTGTGGCGGTGTGTACTCACGTTTTGCATGCCTTAGCGGTTATACCATTGACCACCTGTCGTCGAAAGGACGTAAGTGTGGTGGTGCGGAGGGGGGGGGGGGGGACTCANAGCTGTGTAACTGCCTCGAGGGTGCTTGACCATTTTAACAAGACGTGGTGCGATCATCCCCCTTGCGCGGAGTGAGGGTTCTCCACCCCGCGCAGCATGATCTACTCGACCACCATTATGGTTACCGCCCAAAAAAGAGGTAAAAAAAAACCGGTACGCTGGTTGCCGAGTTCACGAAGTTAATAGGCTTGTTTTACAACGTCGTTGTCAAGCGACGAAAACCCAATCCCGATGGCAAACACCGGGGGGGGGAGGTGTGGAGAGGGTTTGCTTTTCGACCATGTGTTTGGCGCTGCTTGGCGACGAACGTTAGGGGTCGAGGATAAAAAAATTCCCTTGTGACCCGTCCAAGAAAAATCACACGCCACCAAGAACTCTTCAGCCCCGGGCTCGCTCTGTGTGGGGATCGTGATAGCGGCGACATTACGCTTCTACCACAAGTTGCGGCGGGACAATCATTTCAGGAGAGAGCACCGGAGTGTTTTTCAATCAGGTGTTTTTTTGTTCGGATACGGGTACACCAAACTTTGTCTTGAGAGCCACTTTCGTTTTCCTTCGATTTTTTGTACTGCAGTTCGGAGTTTCAGCCCCAGGAGACCGGGTACATGTTCGGAAGTAGCGACCGCCCGCTCAACGACGAGGAAGCGGACGAGTTCCAGGGCCACGACATTGGTGACGCCGTGAACGCGATCCTCAAGCCGAAGCGACCCCGCCGCACCGAGAACGGTGACGGCGGCGGCGGCGGCGGTGGCGGCGGCGGTGGCGACGACGCGGCCTGGCACCGCAGGTTCTGGCAGAGGCCCGCCTCCGGCACTCCTATCAACGCCCCCGCCGTCGCCCAGCAGGCCGGCGGCGGTGACGTCCGCCACATCCGCAGCCAGACCTCGTTTCGGCACTTCTTCAACCGCAACAAGAAGTCCGACCTCGAGGCCAACCTGGACGAAGACCTGCAGGAGCTAGAAGACGGCGGCTCACCCGTTGTCCACAGGAGGTCGGCGACTACGGCGGCGGGCAACAACAACCAGAGGGCGGGCACCCAAAGGACGGCCCAGCGCAAGGGCCGTTCCCCAGTCCGGCCAACGGGGATCGCCGCGGGATCGGCCGAGGCCGGCGTCGTAGATCCCGATGCGAAGGGCGGCAAGCTCAAGGCAGCGGTGAAGAGGGCATTGGCGGCGAGCAGGATGGAGAAGGAGGCGGCCGCGAGGCGCGGGCGGCAAAAAAGGCGGGAGGAGCAGGAGCTGGGAGACTTCAAGGGTTTCATCCAGGTGAAGGACCCGGCGCTGGACAAGTCGTGCGTGGAGTACGGGCTGACGGCGGATCTCGCGGAGACCAAGTACAGGTGGGAGGGCGGCGGTTTGTCGATTCGTTTGCTGTTGTTGTTGTTGTTGTTGTTGTTGTTGTTGTTGTTGTTGTTGTTGTTGTTGTTGTTGTTGGCCATAACAGGGCGGCTTCGTGGAGTTGCGATTGGCGGGTGTTGTGCTCCTTGGGTTCTGTTGCGCGTGGTTGATTGAACCCTCCTGCACGTAAAAGGCAACACAGCTTCTCAAGTCGGCGAGAATCGGGCTCGGACCGTGTCTTTTCTCGGGTCGACACCGCCCGTACCTGACGCAAAAGTCGCGATCGTTCCATCGACTATTCATGTTCCAATCACAGCGAGTGCCTTGCCCCTTTGGTCGAGCCGTTCGCACATCCATCCATACCATAAACAACCCGAACTGATCGGGACGAGAGCAGGTCTGAGGGACACCTGAATCCCCCCCCC